ATCTTTGACTTACAATTTATGTAAAAGACATTGTATGATATCTTCTCCTAGTATTAGAAACTTTAAAAAGAATATTTCCATTTTCTGTTGACTTTAAAAAAAACAGAGGTTTGTAAAAAAAAAAAAATAAAAGTATCTCAAGCATAAAAAACACAGATAGATTAAATCTCCAGTTCCGCAAAAAAAAAAACACCACAGATAGAAATTAGTAGTACAATCACCTTAGTTATCCTGTATATATACACACATTGAATCTTTTTAATTTGTTCCTCAGTTAATTGACATTTGGGGTGTTTCCAAGATTTAGCTATGAGAAATTGTGCTACGACAAACACGCGTGCACATATATCACTGTGGCACGATGTTTTCATTTCTTCTGGAAAAATTCATAGAAGAGGAAGAGCTGGATTAAATCTGACTCCCAATCCTAGTTTTTTGAGGAACCTCCACACTGATTTCCATAGAGGTTTAACCAGTCTACACTTCTAACAACAGTGGTGAATGGTTCCTTTTCCCCACAGCCTCTCCAACATTAACAAATGGTGGTTGATTTTTTGATGATAGCCATTCTTTCTAGAGTGAGATGGAATCTCAATGCTGTTTTCATTTTCATGAATTGTAAATATTTTGGGCTCATTCAAGACATGGAGGCAGATGACTGTGTTACTAAAGGCACTCAGTAAAGAGGGTTTCCAGAACTGCTTCAGAAATTGGCAAAAATGATAGGATGAGAATGATTGAAGTGAGGGGGAGATTTTTATGGAGATTAATGACTATATATTTTATTGTAATAAATTTTTAAAAATTAAACATTTCACTGTTTACATTTCTTGATTATACATCATATACTTAGGTTTGAAGGTGCCATGTAGGAATATAAAATATTCAGCTCTTTTTACTAAGAATAACCTTTGAAGTACCCTCCCCCGTTATTGAATTCTCAACCCAAGCAGTAGGTTTTTAATTAATACATAGGATTCCGTAATTATATTGTTCTTTATTACTGCACACTTTAGAACTACATGAGCAACATTGGATATAAATATTGAAAACAGATTTTTTTTAATTCATTGGATGTGGGGGTCTCACTATGCAGCTCAGACTCATAGTGATCCTCCAGTCTCAGCCTGCCCCACACTCTGATTACAGGAGCACACACCATGCCCTGTTTCGGTGGCCAGCAAGAAGCACTGGGGTTCCATGGCCAGCACAGTATGTGGTATCAGGGATTGAACTCGGGGCCTTGCACTTTTCAGACAGGCGCTTAGACCACTGAGCTGTCGCACCAGTCCGAAGATGGAATATTTATTCCCTAAAAATTCATCATACTAGCATGACTTTCATTATTCTGGGTTACTTGGTATAGGCGATGGAAATAATTACAACAGATTAACATAATAAATTGCATCACTTCATACTGAGATTAACAAATGACTCCTACTCGTGAATCAAACAAATATAGGATTCTCAGATTTGCATTATTTTATGCAGTATGTCATTTACCTCTCTAACTGGATACTTTAACTAGTTATTGGCATTATGGAACCAGTGACATTTTCATCAATAGGGTGTTTTGTCTAGATTTTTTATTGTATAAAAGTGAATTCTCAGATTTTCAGTATTTAACAAATATACAAGCACAAAGTATAGCTAATCATATTTTCATAAATACTGCCATAGTATATAACTATGGCCAGAACAGGCAATAATTTTGTACTTTGAAGATCTGTCAAAATAATGGTCTGCAGTACTTTTAAGAAAGCTAATATAATTGTGTAAATGCACATCTTGAAAATGAGCACACAGGGCATAATGATTGACATCATCACAGGATGTCATTTCATGTACATACACAATTTAATGCAAACATGTACTAATGAAAATACTGAAAAAAACTTGTACTCTTCAAGGAGTAGTTCTCTAATCTACTGTGAAAACATAAAAATGAATTAAAAACCACTCGTACAACAACTTACATAATTGGAAAAATTAGACATAAATGACAGACTTCTAAAACAATTTGAATGTTGTTTTTATCATTATAAAAATGTAAAACATGACAAACTCTTCTTTAACACAATGCCACCAACTCAAAAAGATAAACTAAATTTTTAATTGTCATCACTTCAGTACAATTAAAAGTGAGTTTATCTTATGTTTTCTCTTTTGTATTTTTTAGGGAAGGTTCTACTGGGTGTCCAGGGTCTCCCTGTTAGATTGGACTCATAGTGATCCACCTGTTTACAGCCTTCCAATAGTTGGGATTACCGGTGTGCGCCACCACGCCCAGTCTCAATTGCCATCTCAGCACACCCTGGGTGGGAAAAGTGAGGCAGACCCAGGGATCAACCCCCTGGCCCCTGCTTGTAGGCTATTGGGCCAGCCCTTGAAGAGTAAGTTCATTTATTTTTAATTTTTTTGCGGAACCGGGGATTGAACTCAGGCCCTTGCGCTGCCAGCCAAGCGCTTATTCTACTGAGCTATCTCCCCGTCCCTAGAAGAGTAAGTTTAAATCCACGTTTAAATTAATTATTCAAAAATTTTACTTTTAATTTTAAACTTTTGGATTGTTTAAGACACTTCCCACATGTTTTAAGGCTTACAAAAGTTTGGATATGAGGACTTTCTATATAAAGAACAATATGTCATGATTTGGTATCATTTCCAAATATGGCACATTTGTTCTCTTGAAAAAGAAAACATTTTTCGAGTGATCAAATAACTATTCTCAATAAAATGCTTTATTGACATGTCATAGAAGTACTAAATGTCATAGAAATCAAATATCAGAAAAGATGACAACTGAATTTTTGTCTTTTAATTTTGCCTTTGAGAATGATGCTACAATTATGAAAAAAATCTAAATTCTTTTATTTTGAGTTGAACAGAGTAACTTCATTGATTTCAATGTATCTTGTACATTTGTGTTTTTGAATGACAATAATGGTTAAATTTATACTTAAATTTGAATTTTCAAGACAAAATGTGGAATTAATTCCTTTTAGCCATATTTTTAATTTTCAAAATTTTTTATTGGTACATATTTGTGGTACATAATGTATTCATTGTGAGGGGTTTGTATGTGCACATAATGCATCTTCATTTTTATGTACTCTTCCCTTTCTTTCTCTCCCAGCTCCCTCCACTTCTTGATCATCTATTTTTTTAAGAAAGTACTATCTCCCTGTGTCCTATTATATATCTTTTATCTTCCTCTTTAATGTATTTGGACTTTTGTTTCTCATATAAGAGAAACCAGGGAGTATTTAAAACTGTGTGTCTGATTAATTTCACTTAACATAATGGTCTCAACATACATTTGTTTTCTTATAAATGATTTATGATCATCCTTCTTTATGGCAGAATAGTACTGTACTATGCAAAAATATCACATTTTTGTCAGTACATTTTACAGATAATACAGGCAACTTCCAAGATTTAGCTATTCTGTAAAATGCTAAAGTCAACAACTTCGGACATTGACAGTCTTACGGAAAACTGATTACTATTATGGACTATTGGACTATACTGGGATATTTTGCTGAATTCATGCACCTACAGTATTTAAATGACAAAGGAACGCCCTTCTCTGACAAAACTCAACAAAAAAAGGGGATGCAAATGAAGGATCATTTTGTATCTGTATACTCAAAATAGTTAAGATAGATATACGGCTCCATTTTCTTAATTCAATAAATAGAGAGGTTTGTTCTAAGAGTGTTTGAAACAGGATATCAGGTCTGCATCTTGTACAATGAATAACCACTAAGACAACAATATACATTGTATTAATTGAAAATGTGCTAGTAATCAGTTGTGAAACTATCTCATTGCTATTTGGTTCTCAATAAAAATATTTTTTACAAAAGATTTAGCTTTTGCAAATAGTTCTGCTATGAACATGGGTTTGAATGTATTGCTGTAGTATGGCGTCTTTAACTTGTTCAGGAAGATAACTAGCTGCATCAAATTGCATTTTCATTTTCAGTTTTTTGAGGAATCCACAGAATGGAAAGTTTTCAACAGTTACCCTTTGAACAGTGAACTAATATATAGAATACATAAAGATCTCAAGAAATTGCCAACCCCAAAAGAAGACCCAGACAAAGCAATCAGCAAATGAAATGAATAGATACTTCTCAGAAGTACAAATGGCCAATAAGTATGTGAAAAAAAAAAAGTTTACCATCTCTGAGCTTTACAAAAAAGCAGATTAAAGTAACACTAAAATACCATCTATTCCAGAAAATATGACTATCATCAAGAAATCAAATAATATCTAATTCTGGTGAGACTGTGAAGAAAGGTAAATCAGTATAACCAATATAGAAATCAAAATGGAGATTATAAAACAATTAAAAATAGGAATTGATTCCTTATTCATTTCTTACAAAGGGAAAAGTTTTGATAGCATTTGTTTTACATACTGACCAAGTAATGCTTCCTCATTAACTTTTACTTAGAAATAATTTCAAATCTACAAGCATTATGAGAACAAAACTATTTCAAAAATGTACATGTCCTTTACCCAGTTCCACATATTGTTAATATTTTTTCCTCTTTTGTCTTTCTTGATTTGTAAACTCTTTTTAAAAAAATAATTTGATGGTAAGAAGTATACGACACAGCCTTTTTCTCGTATTTCAGCAAGTATTTTTTAGCAATAGAGAATTTATAGTATGTAATAATAAACAAATATCTTCTGCAAAATTTGAACAATAGGAGATGGCTTACCATCCACAGTTTCATCATTTCCAAAGTGCTGCCGATAGAAGAGCATCAGTTCAATGTTGTAACACTTATAGATGATCACCAGCAGTATAAGGAGGAGGAAGATTGCCCCTAGGCCTCCAGCAAGCTCAATTTTGTAGATTAAGTCTGAAGCACAGAGAATAAATAGAAAAACATAATTAAGTCAACAATGTTTGGGATGTCTCCATATTTCTGATATGTGAGATGTATTACTCATTTTGTTTTCCTTTTGAGAATAATCTTTTTAATACTTCATCCTTGATATGTTTGTATGAATTAGACTTTTGTCACATTTACTCTTTTCTAAAGAGCTAACTTACAACTAAAAATGGTTAATGTATCTGAAAGGGATACACTACTAGTATATTCTGAACACATCATTTCTTTCAAAAATGGGCTTTTCTTTTAACTGCATTTCTGAAAACTACTGAGGCTGCTCTATTCTGTTTCCAGGGCTGATAATTTATTTTTTCTGTTAAATAATCTTATTGGTTTAGCAACATCATCTCGTTCTTCTCAGGCTATCAGCCCTATTCCTCTACAGAAGAACATCATAAAATCACTTTCAGAATCAAATAAAATCTTTTTAGTTTGCAAGACTTAACTGTTTCACTTAATCCTAGTAAGACATAATGTAAAACAACATAAGTAAAACCTTACTACATTTGCAATAACAGATATATATATATGATATAATATAAGATATAATATGTACAGTAGAATTTAAAAGGGAATAAGAAATCCAGATTGATTAGTATTATTAACCATTTGAAAGAGTTTATCCTCAAAACACAGGAAGGTAGAAAAATGGGAAAGCTGGGCACCATGGCACATGCCTGTAATCCCAGCACACAGAAGCTTGAGGCAAGAAGATTGTTGAAAGTTCAAGACCAGCCTGGTACACAAAGCAAGCTCAAGGCTAGCCTGAGCTGCAAAGCAAGACCCTGTCTCAGAAAAGGCAGCAACAACAACAGCAAAAAAAAAGAATTAGAAAAATGGAAAGTCAGAAGAGGATACAGCATTCTCCAGAGAGATGCTGAATCTGAGAGACAGCACACTGGAGGTATATTTTCCACACAGGGACAGGAACATTTTGTGGTCTCTTCATAATTAACTGATATTGTATATAAGTCTATATAACTTCTCTTTAATCTGATTCTGTAATTGTCAAATGACTATGCTATCTCTTATTCAGTGTACTGTGTAACATAAAACTAAGTAAGAGACAACAATTCTGGTTTGTATATCATTTACTTCTGATTTGAGCTGGCACTGGTCTTTCTGGAGGGATCAATTCTGTAGCTTTGTCAAAAACAATTTACTGGGGCTGGCCAAATAGCTCAGCAGATTAAAGCACCTGCAAGCAGGTGCAGGGGCCAGGGGTTCAATCCCAAGTCTGGGGTGCCAGCCCCTCCCCCAGTGCACACTGAGACAGCAATTGAGACTGGGTGTGGTGTCATGCACCTGTAATCCCAGCTCTTGGGAGGCTGTAAGCAGGAGAATCACTATGAGTCCAATCTATTAATGAAACCCTAAACACCCTGTAGACCCTTCCCTAAAAAAATACAAAAAAAAGAAAGAAAAAAGGAAGAGTGGTACTATTAATGAAGAGAAACTATGACAAGAAGGAACATTATGAAGGGACATGTGATGAGTAGGGATAAGAAACTGAATCTGGCTCTGTTCTGTGGGCTGCAAGATTATATTCTGAAATTTAAGCCACAAAATTATAGGTAAAAGAATCTCACCACACATTAATTCTATTTATTTATTTATTTATTTATTTTTGCGGAACCGGGGATTGAACTCAGGCCCTTGTGCTTGCCAGGCAAGCGCTTATTTTACTGAGCCATCTCTCCAGCCCCCATTAATTCTATTTAGAGACTAGGAGACAATAAGTGGGTCCTCACCATAAAGCCAGAGGAGAAAACAAGCTTGCTTAAGAGATTTCTGTAGCAATGCATAGCATAATCTTTGTTTTCTTATGACCTTACATCAAGGATGCCTGATTAATAGGTAGCATTATATTGCAAGTGACACAAGTTTCTTTGTCACTCTGAAAACCAATCTCTCTTTAAACTTAGAGCATTGATTGAACTGATTCAAAATGCTTTCCTATTGTAATATGTTCATTTTATGCTATAAATGTTGTTCTATTTCTGTGTTCTTCTGATTCCATTCTCTCTGACTCTGCCTCCCTGTCTGTGTCTCTGTGTCTCTCACTCTCTGTGTGTCTGTGTGTCTGTGTATCTGTCTCTGTCTCTCTCCTCTCTCCTCTCTCCCCTGTCCCCCAGGCCTTCTCTCCTGTCCCCTCTCCCCTGTTCCCTCTCCCCTCTCCTCTCCCCTCTTTCCTCTCCCCTCTCCCCTTTTCCTCTCCTCTCCCCTCCCCTTCTCTCTCTCTCTCTCTCTCTCTCTCTCTCTCTCTCTCTCTCTCTCTCTCTCTCTCTCTCTCTCTCTCTCTCTCTCTCTCTCTTCAGAACAATATTCAATTGTTTTACTTGACTAGGACATTTTCCAGCAATACATACATTATTCATGGAGTTACTTATATGGTAGATGGAAAACTTCAGCAGCAGGCAAAATCTGTGTTCCCATCAATCAGACACCTTTTTCAGTGATAAATTTATGGATAAAAATCATGATGTGAAAAATATTATTTGAGATTTAGGGTCCCTTTCATAAAAATTTCTTTGCAAGATATTACATAATAATGACTGTTTAAATTAAAAAGCCTGCTCAACCAGTGTTCTTCAATTAGGCACAGGCAATCACATCAAAAGGGGAAACTGTCCTATGATTAGAAAGTAGATTTGCCATCATCCAAATGACACCTAGTTTTTATTTTATCTTCTGTTTTCAGTTGTTGTTTACTTTTATTTAGCAGGACATATACTTTTAAGGTCATTCATGAACTCAGAACCTAAAAGTCATTTCATTTGTGGTATGTCTTCTATACTTATCATCAGGACACTTGTAGTCAAAATAGGAAATGTTTATGGGGCTGTAACTTTCTGTGGGCACCCAAAGTATGTTTATAGTTCTGCTTAATCTTTTAGTTTGAGCCCAATTATTTCTTTACTGCAACATAAAGATCAAATGTTACAGATGGTAACAAATAACAGCTTAAGGCAAGGTAAAAGAAAGCTGGAAATTTGTGAGCTTGTTCCTTTGACTTATAAGAAGTTAAGCAAGTTAGAAGATTTCACCTCAGGACTTGTGCTGTAATCTAATGTTAGTGTCCTCTGAAAAGTCCTATGTTGGAATTGAACATAAAGTTATGATATTACAACATTTAAACTTTGGAAATTTATTAAGTACAAAGAGTAAGCAATAAATCTGCATCTGGTTACTTAGTATAATGTATATTAAGGCAGCTAAATGACTAATATAGAAGTTGTTCTTGAGAAGTTAGAGTGTTGTTTTAATAAGTACCAAAAACATGGAAGTGGATTTGGATCTGAGTAAGAAATAGAGGCTAAAAACTTTGAAATACATTTCAATGAAAGGAAACTTTGGAGAGAGTCTTGGTGAGGCATCAAATGAAGGAGTTGTGTAGGGAAAGCTCCAGTATTATCAGAGTTTAGCTAAGTGGTTTTGATTATAATGTGGGTAGAAATAAAGTTGGCAAAATCCATTCTGATGACTCAGATGGACATAAGGACAAAGTCCTTAGCGGATATGAGTGAATCTTGGATGTTCCTGCTTCTAAAATTGTAAGAAATAAATTCCTGTCCTTTATAAATTACCCAATGTGAAGTATATTATTATGGTAACTGAACAGCCTAAGAAATTTTCCTACATGATAGAAGAATTTTTTCCTACATTTCCATCAGGATAGAGAATTATGAATAAAAATGAAAAGTGATATCCAATTACATGTTTATGTTTGGTGGAAAGGGAGTGTGTGTAGAATTAGAAATAATTATTACCCTTCCTTTGAACCAAGTTCAAAGTCTGTACTCACCAAATAAAAAATTTAAGATGGATCAATTACTGAAATTCAGTTTTGCTTACTCCCTAATTGTTTATAAGAGAATAAGGAAGTGGTAAATAGAGGTGGAAGATACATAAATAAAAAAATCTGACTGTTGTTTGGATGTATTCAACATGAGACGTCATTTCACAAAAAGCTTTTGCAGTTTAGGAAAGATTTTCCATAATGATTTTCCATTCTTCTCCATAATGATCACTTAGGGTATTTTCAATATTTGATTTGTACATCATTAAAATGTTATTATTCCATTAAACAAACTATATTCAAACTTTAAGAGGGAACACTCTAATCATTGAAATCAGGCTACACTGTCTAAAAATTCGAACTCCTTAGTCCATGCTTTGTTTGCTCAAATATCTGTCCTTCTTTGAAAAGAAGTCTCTATCTGCCTGGTCCCTGAGGCCCACTGAATTTTCTTTTCCTCTTTGTAAATTTTTATGTTTATATGCCAAACCAGGAAAGTAAAAATCTTCATACAGAGAAAGGAATTTAGCTAACTGAGGCAGACTTAAATCAAGACAAGATTATAGATTACATCTCTCTGCCAATTACTTTCATCCTTTCCCCATTTCATCATGTATGTCCTCAGTGAGCAAAGGGTCCATGCAACAAATCACTTAAACACTAACTATGCTTTCTACAATAAGAGTAACTTGGTAAATCAAAGGAGGAAAGTGCCTGTTCTCAAAGTGTTTATTTTCCAGTTGGTAGAGGAAATAAGTAAACACACACACACACACACACACACACACACACACACATATATATATATATATATATACATATATATGACAATAATAATAGTAATAATAATACTAGATACAAGAAAAATACATAGGAGCATGTAAGTGGAAAATGGAAATGTATAGTGGTGGTATCTTACATACAGTGGCCAGGGAAGGCCTAGGAAGAGACCTGTGTGGAGAGAAAAAATGAATCATGAGGACATCTCAACACAGGAAACAGTAAGTGCAAGGGCTCTGAGTCAGGTCTATACTTAGCAAGCATGACAAACAGAAAGGAAGCTGGTGTTTATGATGTTTGAAAAAGAACATGGTAAAAATTGAGATCACAAATAAGAAGAGATTTTGTAGTGCCTTGTAGGCCATCATTATGATTTGATATTTCATTGATTTGTTGCTATCGTTCAGACTACAGTGGAGACAGTGAAGGTGAGGAAAATGGTCAGAATCTGCATAGACTGAAAGTAATAGAGAAAAATCTTGAAGAATGATCTCAGGGATTTTGGACTGAGAAACAAAAGAATGGTGATGGTGGTGAAGCAAGAAATTGAAGGTTTTGGATCTGATAAGGTCAATCAAATCCCCTCAGGAACTCCTGTTGCATAGGTCTTGCTTTATCTTGGTCTTAACCATCCAACAGAAAAGTATAAAAACGAAGTAAGAAGTAAATCCATGGTGTTATGTTGAGCTGTAGGGGACTCAGGTCAACAATTTCTGACATTGCCAGTCGAGTGGAAGACCCAATACTATTATGGACTATTGGAATCTTTTAGAATATTTTGCTGAGTTAACACCCCTATAATACTCAAACGATGGAACTAAACAAAAAAGGGGATACAGATGAATGTCCGTTTTGTATCTGTGTATTCAAAATGTTTAGAATAGATATATAGTTACATTCTCTTAATGACTAGAGGGATTTGTTCTAATAGTGTTTGTAAATAGGATAACATGTCTGCATCTTGTATAGCAAATGACCACTGCAAAGAGAGTATCCAATATGTTAATTATTGAAACTGTCCTCGGAGCCGGGGAGATGGCTCAGTGGAATAAGTGCTTCTTTGGCAAGCACAAGGGTCTAAGTTCAATCCCCGGTTCCACCAAAGAAAAAAAAAAAGAAAGAAAAGAAAAAAAAGTAAACTGTCCCACCAATTTGATTTGAAACTGTCTCATTGCTATTTTTTCTCAATAAAATTATGGGGGAAAAAAAGAGATTGAAGGGTCACATTTGTAGGGAGGAAGAATTAGAAATCCTGCTTGGGACGAGCTAAACTTGATATGCCTACTAGATCGCTATGTGGCTTTATTGAATAGGAAAATACACATACAAGTTTGGATTTCAGGTGACAAATCCAAGCTGCAGATATAAATCTTGGAGTTGTCAGCATTTAAATAGTAAGCAAAGCCATAAGATAGAGAATGGACTTAATCACTAACCAAATGAGTGAGTAGGCCTAAAACCTGTGAAAATACAATCTTTAATAATTAGGAATATGATAAATAATATTTAGTTATTATTATTTCTACATGTTTTCTTGTAGAGTCATAGAAGTTAGGAAAGTTCTACAGCATATATTGATTCGTAATGTCAAATTTCTAGATTTTCAAGGGTTGCTATTCACAATTTACTTATTAAGGAGTGATAGAGTAATTCTTTTTTTTAAATTTAATTTTATTATTTCATTTTGAAAAGCAAAAGACAAAAGTAAGAATAAAAATCAGAAGTGATGACAGGGTAACATACAACAATATATATGCTACAGATTTTCAGAATAAAAATTGATGATTATCAATGGTTGATATATTAGGACAGCCAAATAGCTCAGGGGATTAAAGCACCTGCAAGCAGGCACAGGGGATGGGGGTTTGATTCCTGGGCTTGCTGTGCCAGCCACCCCCCCCCAGGGTGTGCTGAGAAGACAATTGAGACTGGATGTAGTGGCACATCTGTAATCCCAGCTCTTGGGAGGCTGTAAACATGCGGATCCCTATGAGTCCAATCTAGTAGTGAGATACTGAACAACCTGTAGACACTTCCTTAAAGTACAAAAAAAAACCCATAATAGTTGATATATTATCTATTTTTAACATCAAATCTGTTGCTCTAATTGACACATACAGTTATGGAAGATTGGACATATGATTGCATATTACCTCTTGTTTTCCAGAAACCTTAAATTTTTGTTCTTGTCCCATTTGACTTTTTTGTCTTTTTAAAAATTGATTTTGAAGAGAGTATAGTATAATTGATATGACATTAGAAATGATACACAGTTAGAAGACCAAGATAACAAGTATTCAAGCATGATTTTTGTATTACACATTGCTGTCCTCGATGTAGTTGCTTAGATCACAGATATCAGCATACAGTTAGTCGTGAAAATTTCTGTATCTACTGTCTGAATTATAGAATTTTCAATCTTTTTTTCTCCAAGGTTTTGAATTAGGACACTACACACCTTTGTGTATTTTTTTTGCTTAATATTTACTATTATCTTTATTTTCATTCTCAACTCCCAAAGATGATAAGTTCACAAGGACTTAGGGGGTGTCTATCTTACTTAGCAGCCTATTCCTCATGATATAGGGGAAAGGAAGTCACAACTTGAAAGATATCTGGGACAAATTCATGTTCTTTAAAAGTGAAGAATGAATTTTAGGAATAATGGAGGTTAAAAGCAGAATATATTTATTGGGGAAAAGAAAGTTTCTGTCCTAGAGAGGGACAGATGGGGACACAAGTCAGTTGCTAAGGACCCTACCTTCTTTTTTTTGTGGTACCAGTGATCAGGACTAGTGCTTAAGCCTCAGAGCTATCTCCCAGACCCTTTTTTGGGATTAGCAAATCCATGAGGTGAGGTGTGTCCAAGGTGGGGGAACATGGGAATTCGCAAAGTGGGCATAAGATGAATCTAAAATATGGTGAGCCAATAAGATTATAATTGTTCAGGTAAAGTTGATTAAATCAAGATCAAATACGGAAGGGAGTTACATAGCAAGCAGGCATGAATACAGAAGAGGGGCTTTTCCATTAGGGGGTTGGGTTAGTGACTTTTTTTAAGGTGATAAATACTTATTTAGAATAACAATCCCTGGTATGTGGGTGTATTTGTTTTATCTTTTCCTGAGGTCTGGCCAACAGCAGAAGCGCCTGTCTCTTTCACAGTTGCAAGGTATCTTGTCTTCCATACTGGCTCCTTCCAGGGCCATTCCTGACTCACTACCTATAATATTTCTAATCTAGTTCTTTCACTTACAACGTTTATAGTTAAATACCTGTTATTTTCAGGAAAATGCTGGCATGTTTCTGTCCATTATTTTTCTCTATATGGATTATTTGTATTTCATAGATGAGGAAACAAAAGCTCAGGGAGTCTAATCAGGCAAAATTGTCCAATTGAATCAGCTGCCTAAATCACAAACTCCTGAACTGAGGTTTCTGGACTTCACTGTCCATATTAGATTTAAGAGGGATAGCTAGTGACTTTGCTGACTGAATAGGTTTTATTGTTTTATAATCTAGGCAACAAGAACAATGATTGGAAACTTTTTATCTGTTATGTTTACAAAACTTTTGCCAGATGCATGCAGAAAGTATTTAGGCTTCTGTAGTCATTAAGAGTCATAGGGCTGGTGAGATGGCTCAGTGGTCTAAAGCACCTACTTAGAACAAGCTCAACAAAGCACAGGGACCACGGTTCAATCCCCCAGCACCACATGCCAGCCAGCCCCACCTCGTGGTGGGCTGAGCTGGTCACACACACACACACAAATAAAAATTAAAAAAAATAAATAAAAATCATAGCAATGTAATAGCCAAATGAGAAGTCTCTCTAGCTGCTGAGACTGTTGTTCTTATGTCTAGTTTTATTTCTTTTATCCATAATAGATTCTTTATTTGACCCATTATATGCAACTTTTACTCAATCAAAACTAGATATAGAGACTTTTATTAATGCCAAATTACTTAATATACAAATCCACGAGAGGCTGAATATAACACCATATCACAAAATATAGATTATAATTGCTATAATAATAATTATGAAAATGTCATATGGTACTATTTATTATTTTGTTTATCGTTTATTCAAGGTATATAAAAGAAACATCGTTTCTCACCTGATTACCTCTAACATTTGATTCAAACAATATAAGATTAATGCCATAAAAAGAGAAATATGTAGAGATGTTGAATGTCAATCTATATCAAAATTTTGTAGTACTTTAAATTATAGCAAAGGATATTTTATCTTTATTAATGTAACGTACAATAAAACTTTATTTTATTTATCCATTTTCTTGCAGCATTGAAGATCATAGATATTTTGTGTTCTATATAGCAAGACAAATAATACTTAACAAAAGTTTGTACTAAATGGCAAATCAAGACCAGGAAAAATATCTAAATTTACTAGTTATTTCCATTTTAACCAAGTATAGATAGAATAAAAGTAAATACCCTTTTTACGAAGTAGAACACTGGCATGTTTCCGTCCATTTCGGTTTTCTACATGACAGGTATAATTAGCCAGGTCAGCCTCCACCACTGAATCAAAGATGAGCGTCAGTTCAACTTCTTTTTCTCCAAGATGCTCTTTGAGAAGCCTGAAATAAAAACAGTATTCTTGGTTGAATTAGATTGCTTCCTTATGTAAAAAGTAGCCATTTGAAGTCTACACATGATCCTGGAAAGTGCGAAGTCTTGAGTTCAATCCCTGGTGGCACACACACACACACACACACACACACACACACACACACACACAATGAAGTCTACATATGGTTATAGAGCCCTGATCTCAGGTTTCTAGATGGTACAAAACATGATGGATTTTTGAATGATATGTGCTCATGGGGCCTCTAACAAAAACACAGAGAAATTAATACTTGACCTGAAGAACAAATGGAAGGAAAGTGGAATGGAAGATTCTACTTAGCACCAAAATACTAATATTTCACAAGGCTTTGGATAATGGGTCCAACATAACTTGTGTGACAAAACTAAGAAAATGCTAGGTTCCACAAGTTTGAAAAAACTAAGTTTAAGTTTTTACCACAGCATGGAGCCATGATAATAACATGTAAGAGTATATGTTTTATGTTAGAAGTTAGAGTTTTCACATTAGTGAGGTAGAAGTGTAGTGAAGAGGGTCTTACAGTATGGTTGCTGTATGAAAAGTGAACAAAAGACTACTTATAGCCTTTTACTACTCCCAAATATCAGTGACAAACTTATTGTCCAATGCAGTAAATGTCATGCTCCTTACTCCTCTAGTGATCCTCACTCTACCCTCATGGCCTGATTTCTCCTTACTCTGATCTACATTTATCTTTCTTTTTCCCCTTTCACAGAAGAAACCCTGCCTTCTGTCACATTTTCTCCAGTATTGCTTTTTGCTTCCTCAAGTGAGTTCCAAAGACCTTGAAAGCCTGGGAACAGGTGTTCTTTTCAGAGGAGCTGAGTTGTCAGGACTTTCTTTTCCCCTGGAGTGGGGGGACCTCCTGTTTCTTTGAAGAGTTATCTTTTCCTTTAAAAAAAACCCAGTTATCTTTTCACAAGTGATTAGTTACCTCCGGAGTGAGGTAAAAGTGGGCACTCTGCTGATTTCTCTGTAACCTCTTGCCTTTGCTAAAGTAGGGGCAAATTAAGAGTCAAGTGGTAGTAAATCTTATAGTTAAGCTCAAGACCAGGTCCTTAAATATATAGATAGTATTTTATATGATAAATTGGAAAACCAAAAGTAACTCTTTCTTGGATAATGAGTATAAATTCAGAGTGGATTAACAGGCATTGAGCATAAAATTAGAAAAGACAATTGTGCACAAGGGAAAAAATGCATTCTAAGTACACAGTTCATACTTACAAATGGAGGCTGTCTCCTTACCTAGGAACTAACCTTTTGTTTCCTTAATTTAACTCATTTTTAAATTGAGAATAACAAGTACAATTCAAACTTGTATCATAAATTTCTTGTCAGAGTGAAATGGGAAAGAGATTTGACCATTAAATAGCACTATGCATTTGAAAAAGGGTCTTATTAAATATAAACATTTCATTATCTGTAGTTAAGGTATGTAAATTTTATATTCTCAAAAATAGTTGGATTTATGTCTGACATTTAAGTATAGCATGGCTTAATGCATTCTGGCTCCTCCTTCAGAGAAGGAAGAAGTTAAATTTGGGTTGGTAGAAAAGTTTCTAGCATCTGAAAATCTCTTATACTAAAATCTAATGAAAAAATGCTGAATTGAC